TCAAACAAAAGCCACTCAATATCCTTCTGTGCAGAAGGCAACCAAGCAGATTCATTCACTGGTTTCAGCTTCTCATTAAAAAAAATCTGCACTGCCCCTTTAAGGCAGAATTTCCTTTTTTTTTGTCAGTTTCCTGTTGCAGCCTGATAACCGGCCTCATTCGGCAATGCAATGACACCACACAGCACTATTATTCCCTGTGTTATTGCCTGGAATCAGTGATATCGACCAGCCCTACTGACTACCCAGCAGTCCTTGACGATATTCTTCAGATACTGTGGAATCTGAATGAATGATGCATCATTCATGTCACTGGAGAACAAAAGTGGGCTGTTAAGCTATGATGGTATATGCTAGATTAGTTTTCATTTGAGGCATAGCTTGGCTCAAACAAAAGCCACTCAATATCCTTCTGTGCAGAAGGCAACCAAGCAGATTCATTCACTGGTTTCAGCTTCTCATTAAAAAAAATCTGCACTGCCCCTTTAAGGCAGAATTTCCTTTTTTTTTGTCAGTTTCCTGTTGCAGCCTGATAACCGGCCTCATTCGGCAATGCAATGACACCACACAGCAATATTATTCCCTGTGTTATTGCCTGGAATCAGATCTACCTTAATCCAGAGAAAGCTCCATCACCACCTGTAGTGCAGAGAGTAAGACTTTCTGGATTATGTGAAAGTGAAGAGAACAACTATTTTTAGCAGCAGGAATGGACACAGTCTGTTGAGGTTGAGAGCTGCTAGAGCACACATATGCCAGCTGAGACAATCAGACAGAGTCCAAATACAACAGTTTATCGAGGCTGTTAAACAGCAAGGTGTAAGTGTAATGTTATGTTATATGGTGGATCCTGTTCTGGCATATTTTCTAATATTCATTAAAAATGACCTATATGCATTAATGAAGGTAGCTGCAATCTAGAATATCTCCTAAAATGTCTAGAGTCTAGCAAACTTGAATATCACTTCCTCTGTACCGCTTTTCCTCCAGTCTACCTCAAGTTAAGTAAAACTTTCATTTTCCATGCTGTTTTAGGATCTGATCATCACATCTAAACCCAGAGCTTCTCACTTCTGAAATGAATTGCAAACCAGGTCTGAGATCAGCTCTGAAAGTCAACTTCCACCAACAATCCTGCATTAACCACCTCCCTCCCCTGAAATTGCTGTAGCTCTTCCTGTGTTTGAGAGGATAAGAGAGTTTGTCCACGCCTGTCTGGACTAACAAAGCACTTAGTAATAAGTCCACTCTATAAACTAGATGTGAATGCTAAATCATCAACGAGAATACAGATGGTACAATGAACAATGAATATTCATGAAAGCAAACATGCAACAACATTAGCATGTAACGACAGCAGACATGGTTTCAGAAAGAGTCTTTTTTCCTTCCTTTCCCCCACAAAACAACCCAAATTTGCACACTTTAAATACTTCATACCAGGGATGGGCAAGCTTGGTCCTGGAGGGCCACTATCACTGTCCAACTCTCATGCCGTGAATCCAGAGCAAAGTGTCTTGCTATTTTGGATGCGAACGCATGTTTGAAAGCACAAAACACAACTTTGCTCTTTGTTGACCACACGAACAGTTTGAAACGATGGCGCTCTGATAGTGTTGGTCATTATGTGAATGTGCCATTGTCTGAAGAACAGAAATTCAGTTGTGAAAGTCACCAAAACACAGAGGATGTGACGCTCATACAAAGGACACTGTGCACCACCTGACTAACCATGCAGTCGAGACAGCAGCTCTTAAACCAGCAGAAGTGGGCCGTCAGCAGCTGGAGAGGGCCAATGACATGCGTGTGCTGTATCAAAATGCTGACAGTGCCCAGAGGTGACTCTGCAAGCAATGAAGCAGTCCTCCCTTCATTAGAGAATCTGTATCTGAACATTGGATGAGACAAAGGCATCTACTACTTAAGCGTCATGCCAATAACAAACAAAGGCAGACAACAGACAAAGGAAATATGTTCCATTCAAAGGGCATTAAAGTGAGCGAGACGTGAATTTAAATTGTCTTTATTTACAGAGGTATATTATGTCACACTTCACACATCTCTAGTAAGTTTCGTCTGTGTGTGAAGACGCTGCAGGCCATGGTGTAGCGCAAATCTGTGAATGAAAGTTTTTTATTTAACTTCTTTTGGACTGATGCACTGCAACACCCACTGAGTGCCATTAAACAGCTTGAAAGATCAAAGACAATTTTTAATATAACTCCGACTGGATTTGTCTGAAAAAAGAAAGTCATATACACCTAGGATGACTTGAGGGTGAGTAATTTATGGGCTCATTTTCATTTTTGGGTGAACTAACCCTTTAAGAACCACTGCTCTACTAGTATACCTGTGTGAACTTAAGGGGAATTGACATCATTAACAAAAATTGACCTCAAAACAGTTAGTTAAAAGTAATGGCAGATAATGACTGTGAAACATAAAGTCAGCATCATATATAGCATTATTTGTTTACAGATGACACTTAATTTGATAATTAGCTATCTACATCTTATCTAATGCAGGGATTCCCAAACTTTCTTTGTCAGCTGAATCCCTTTGACATAAAATATTACATAGAAATACCCTATGAGATTTAAAGTTAATATTTTAATAACTTAAAAACACATTTGCATGTTCACAGTGCTCTGATGTTGATTAATGGTAGCATGTAGGTAGGGTAAACAAATACATATTTTATCTATTTTTAGTATGTTTAAAACTATTTATTTATTTTCATTTGCTATTTTTATGATTTAATTAATTATTAGCTTTTCATCAACTCCCCTGCAGTTCCCTAATGATCCCCAGTTTGGGGAAAACTGATCTAATGCAACAAAACTCTTACATTTTAAGAGCGGCAAAAGTGCTTTTTGGGGCCACTCTATGTACAAAAACAAGTCATGCACATACTTATTTATACACAACAAACAGATATACACAATACTTGTCTCATAGCATTTGACCCTTTTAGTTCATTAAACTACCTACTGCTTACCAAAAACAAGCTCACAGCACTCACATTCACATACAAACACACTTACACTCTTCCATTGCTACAACAGGCCTCTGTCTACCTTGAACAGTGATCGAGGATCAGTAGTGGTCTACAGATACCAAAGCAGAAAAGACTAATGAGGCTGGTCAAGGGATACAAGAGCTTTTTGTCCATCTGAACTGGGCTCATGGTGGGCTGATGTTCATAACTGATGTTTATTGAATGTCTGCAATAAAAAGGTCAACATGCAGTAAAAAAAAGTTTAATATTTCAAGCATTGCTACTGCTAATATATTTGTTGTGATTTAAAATATGCTATCTTTGTACTAGGAACAGAAAGGGACAGTGTCAGCCACAGTTTAGTAACACAGGGCAAACCCCCTGGTATCAAATCCCCTTGACGTCAGTGAGATTACATAGTGTTCACTTAAGATACAGCATGTATTTGGTATGCCTCCATTGGGAGATGGCAACTCTCATAATGTGAATCCAGGACCTGCAGAGCAAAGTGTCTTCCTGTTTTGTATGCGAATGCATGTTTGAAAGCACAAAACACAACATTGCTCTGTTGACCACATGCATGAACAGTTTGAAACGATGGCGCTTTGATAGTGTTGGTCATTATGTGAATGTGCCATTGTCTGAAGAATAGAAATTCAGTTGTGAAAGACACCAAAACACAGAGGAACACGACCATGTGACTCTCATACAAAGGACACTGTGCACCACCTGACCATGCAGTCGAGACAGCAGCTCTTAAACCAGCAGAAGTGGGCCATCAGCAGCTGGAGAGGGCCAATGACATGCGTGTGCTGTATCAAAATGCTGACAGTGCCCAGAGGTGACTCTGCAAGCAGTGAAGCAGTCCTCCCTTCATTAGAGAACTTGTATCTGAACATTGGATGAGACAAAGGCATCTACTACTTCAGCGTCATGCCAATAACAAACACACTTTTATGCACAACTCCCCAAAGAAATGCAATCTTCAAAGACTGGTTTATAATTTCTTATGCCTGCGGACATCCAAACCCTGCCCATCCATACTTTCATACAAAGTGTTAGCTACTACAACCTACTATAATTTATTCCAGCAAACCCAATATTTATTCCAGCAAACCCAATATATCGTGCCCACAGCTTTTAAGACGGAGTACACTGTCACGCATAGGCGGAAATCCCGGGGTTGTCGGGGGGGGACCCCTATCTGAGGGTTGTCCCCCCTAAAAATATGATTAAAAACCACGCTGTGTATTGTAATGTAAATAACCTTTTATACTTTAAATAACTTTGTAAGTAGTAAAACAACAAATGCAAACGCGGCAAAAATGGGTTTTAAGTTTAGAAACATTTCGAGTCTCCCCCTCCCTTGCCTCACAGTGCTTTGGTCCAAATGCCTGCTTTCCTCTTTTACATCACCTCGGTGTTGCCAAGTCCGCAGTTTTCCCGCGGAATTGGGCTACTTTAACACTGTTGACGCGGGTTTTTCATGTCCGTGGGTTGAAAACCTGGCAACCCTGCATCACCTACACACAGACACATACACAAGTCCGGTGAGCGAGAACAAAGTCAATAGTTGTGGAACTCCAAGGCTGTCAAGGCTATTTTATTCACTTAAACACCAGATGAAGTGATTATTTTCTCTTTAATTCAGATGATGCCAATGTATTTTTCAATGAGTCCACTATGTTAGCAATAATAACATTACCTGCTTGAAGGATAGTAATATCTACAACGGACACAACCACTGTCGCTGCGCGACAACAACAGCTTAAAGTTGTCTAATTTGGCACGGTCTCCCTGTTACACTAATAGTAGTAAGGCTTTCTGTGTAAACTTTTCCTTACAAGTACAATTTTAGCTTTGTTATTTGTGTCCCCTTCAAAAATCGCTCTTGAGAAATTTTATGTTTATTGTCCCCCCCCAAGCCGTCACGCTAATGCGTTTAATTTATTACAAAAGGCGTTTCTTTCTGTCCTTGCTTTCACGTGTTTTAGGCACTTACCTTGATGGGGTTTGTACTGAAACCAATTTTCCTGCTGGGGGGTGGTTCATCTTCTACAGGCAGCCCAGGGATTTCTGAACAGCTGGATTCTGGTTCGTAAGCACCATCATCCTCAGCCTCCTCATCTTCATCCAGCTGACTACCACCAGAGTCCTCTCCAATCCCGCTGTACGCGCTGATGTCCACCAGGTCTGCTTCTGAGATATCCTCTCTGTGGGATTCCTCCTCATTGCAGGCCTGTCCAATTTCCTCCTTTTGTTCTGAGGGCTCATAGCTGCTGGTGGCCTCCCCATTTTCCAAAGAGGCATGGACATCCGCCTGTACCAGTCTGCTCCCTGCATCCGGTGCTTCTGGTGCTGCATGCCCCTCTGGTTTGGAATACTTGCCCGATGCATTATGGATCTCTTCTGACCTGGACGTATTGAAATCCATACCAGCATTGCCAGAAGCCACATCCTCGGATGATTTGCTTTTGGGTCCATCAGCTTGGAAGCTTGTTCTACTCTTCGGACTCCCAGGTACAGCCTCTTGGTCTTTGCGCTGAGCTCCCTCATCTTGATTCTCTGTCGGAGGGGAGACTCGTCCCTTTCTAGTGACAATTTTGGAGCTGATTCCTCCCACCTTGCCCGGGGTAGAGCCTACCCCGTGAGAAGGCAGTGGGGAGGTTGAAGATGGTCGGTGAAGGTTGTTGCGCTGGTCTGTTCGTTCAAACACTGCGCTCAACTGGCTGACTGTAGGGGACACTGCATCTGCGCGACAGTCCCCCGCGTCCAGTATGTCCAATGACTCTGTGCTGCCATTGAAGCGAACCACCACATCCAAACGGCTGTCTTGGAACCCCGACGCCCGCTCTTTCTTTAACAGGATTCGATTAGTCGCAGCCTGCTTCTCCTGCAGGTGACGCTGCTCAAATATCTTCCGTGTCTCCTGTAGCTTGGAGAAGCCTGTGCTTGGTCCATGGGAGCTGCTACCGTCGGTCTTTCCATCGAAGCGGCTAACTCGCTCTGACACAGTCCCGCCGAGTTTGAGCAGCGCACTGTGATCCACATTCTCATTCAGACTGCTTGCTCTGGGGAGGGAGAGTCGGATTGCCTGGCCTTCGGCCTTCAACGGATCCTCTTCTTCCCCAGGAGAACCCATCTGCATGAACATATTCTTGATGCGGTGCACATTGGAGCCGTACCTGCGGCCCCGGCCCTGTGGTCGAGGTTTCCCATCCTCCCCGTTAGCAGCACTGGAATCTTTTACTGGCTTGAGAGATTGAATTCCAGCTTCATAGGCGTTTCTGTGCGGTGATGCGCTTCTTGCTACGAGGGTGGTGCTGGCGCTGCCGCTGGCTGCAGATGGGGGTTCAGTCTTCATCATGGTTAATCAACAGCAGTAAAGACAAGCAGAAACAGCATAGCCCTCTGCTTCTCCTCCTTATTGCATGAATAAGAAGTGGCAGCCTTCAGGATCAGTCCATATTATCAGCCGCAAAACAGAGAAAAGGAGAAAGTATGAATAAGACAGAAATAATTGACATTTTATAAGAAATATGCAAGGAATAATTGATGATGGACCACTGAATTATCAGAAAAATAATGCACACACGAGGTGGTGATGCGGCCATTACACCAAGCGGAGCATTATTTTTCTAATAATTCAATGGCCCGAAGTCAGTTATTCCGCTTATACTACAGTTAACACAAGACATTGTTCAGATGATGTATTTCAAGACATTTGTCAAGTTTTTGTCCTTAAAACACACGCATGTAGGACTAATTTCACAAGCATCAAGTCTCAAGCCTCAATTGCTAGTTCCACAACATCATTTTAGACCTAGTTGTGAAGGCCCGAGCTATAGTGCAGTTATAAATGCAGTCTAATGCAGTAATTAGAGAGAGAGAGATTAATTGTAGCTGTGTGAAGCACGTGTAAATGACCTGAATCTGTGCATTTAAATGGAAAACATTTAACCAAGTGGCATTTGCAGACAAATTAATAGAGTTCATACATAAAGCCAGTTCACTAAGAAAGACATTAAATGAAACACGATTTGATATTTTGCATCTAATGCAATGGAATGCATTCATTTTTAAGTGTAGCCTATGTACTGTCTAAATACTTTTGACAGCTCATTTGACAAATCAAGTGGGGCCACTACAAGTATATATCAAAAAACATCAACTGTACAGGGCAAATGCCTACATGTTTAGTACCCTAATATGGTTTTTGAGCATCCATTGACAGCTCTGCCATGGCCACACACATTCCCCAGGTGTCATAAAGCCAGAAAAGCTGCATTTTCAGACGCCTCTTACTTTTACAGTTCACTTAAAATTGCACTAAAACAAGAGTAAATGAAGATCTAAGACCAATTTTTAATCTACAACCTTTAAAAAAAAAAAAAAGTAGGCCTACATAAAAATCACAACAATATTAAAGACTACTAAGGAAAGGGTTTACACAGTGATGCAAAACACTTCCGTAATGACTCACATTTCATTTGAGTGCAGACTAGCGTTACATCTTACAGAACACTGATTTCAAATATTATTAAAGACTACTAAGGAAAGGGTTTACACAGTGATGCAAAACACTTCCGTAATGACTCACATTTCATTTGAGTTCAGACTAACGTTACATCTTACAGAACACTGATTTCAAATATTTTTTAAACACAAATCATTCATTTTGGCAGACAAAGGTATTTAAATGAGGCTGATAGCTGTGCTTTGGAACATGGTAGCTCGTTTCTAGATGGTCATTAGCTGGCAGACCATCTTAGACCGGCAACAAAGCCTCTTAAAATGACCAAGCTGGTTTTTAAAACATAGTAGCTGGTCAAAATTCAGCAAGAAAATGAACTAGAGCCCAGCCACCATGTTACAAACACAGCTTAAGCTGGTTTTTCCAACAGGGTTGGATCTCTGTAGACAACAAATTGATCTTTCTGTCAGATAAAGGAAGTCCGATCATGAACGAAACCGTAAACAGAGTCACAGGAACTTGAGACAATTTCAAGTCATTTGATATATAAAACGGTGCATGAATTCTTGGGAAATACCACGCATACTGGCACGGACAGGCAGGCTTTGTTGTGATCCCATGCTGCCGCCAGTAGATTTACTTATCTCGGCAGCATGAATCAACCAGCGAAACATCAGCTGTCGTTTTAATTCCGCTTTACATCGAGATATGCAAGACAGATCATATCGCTAATTAAAAAGCGATATGGAAACTGTAAGATATATCTTTTCTGCGCCGCCAGTTGTGTTGAAGGAGTGTCAACAGATTGAAGCTGCAGCCTGTCAAAACACCACACTAGGACCCTGCGGAGCGAGCGGCCGCTCTCTGCAATGATGCCTGCACTCGGCGACGTCGCTTCCTGCATCCTCCACCGTCCAAATAACGGTTCTACCGTTACAATCAAAGGACATTTTTTATTTCCTCCGCTCTCCTCAGAAACTGTACATACCTTGTTTCTCGTGCTCATCGAAGACTCCGTCCTTTAATGAACGAAAATTACGTTCCTTTCGTTCACAAATCCATTGTGTCCACGAGCCGTTTTCGCACTCTCGATTTCCCCCCACGAGCTTGTGACGCGCCTGCTCGCTCTCTCTCTCTCTCTCTCTCTCTCTCTCTCTCTCTCTCTCTCTCTTTTTTTCTTTCTCTC